GTATAAAGGTTTTAGTTAAGGTTAAAACTACATATTTCGGGGCTGGCAAATGGCATGGAGGTTAGAGGTGCAGGACTCCCACATGGCCGACCATGGTTCAAATCTCGGACCTGGTGGCTTGCTTTCTCACTCTCTCTCTCTCTCTCTCTGTATCTCTCTGATCAAGTTGGAAGATTATAATGACAATAATAATAAATAAAGTTAAATAAAATAATTCTTTTTAAAAAACTACATATTTCATGTTTGTTATCATGAATTACAGCTTCTGTAATTTATTTTTTTGGCTTAATTTCCAGAGGACACTTGCACTCACCAGAAAGAAAAGAGTGAGGAAGAAAGATGTAGATAGATAGATAGATAGATAGATAGATAGATAGATAGATAGATAGAGATATAAACATAAGAGAGAGAGAGAGAAGCCCCAAGAGGGTGTGGGTGCCACGTCCTTTTTCTCTCCATTCCTTCTTCCCATCAGGATTTTGGGCACACAGGCATGCACACATGCCTGGCAAAGAAAACATGCAACTCTTAACCTAGTTTTTTTTTGAAAACCCAGATCTGAACCCTTTCATTGTGAGACTAATTATTCATATATCATATATAAAATTATCTTTGTCTCAGGAAATTGCATTTTTTTCTTTAATAATAAAATGTGGTTATTTTAGAAAACTCAGTTTTCTTATTTAAGCTTTAGTTAATCTTATCACTAGTCTTGTGTTAATTACATACACACATTATTACATGTAGATGTAGTTATAGATGTTGATGTAGAAATAGATACAGACACAAAGAGACTCACAAGACAAAGGGATATACCATGGCATCTGTTAGTAAGAAATTCTGAGGCCCTTTGGATCCAGTTTACATTGTGCCTATGATAGAGTTTAATCCAAACACAGTGCCAATACAGGTTTTCAATCAAAATGGGACAAAATTTGATTTATTTGGTAATATCAGTTAATAAAGGAGCAAATAAAGGATGGAGTAATCCATGGTGTTAAGGGCTAGAGGGAGATCAAGGGGAGAAATACCAGGGCGATGACCATTTCTGGCATGACTAGGAAATCAACCTTCTCAAAGGTGCTGCACACAGAGAGGTGTCTGGGAGATCAAATTTCAGGAAAAGATTAGATGAGAAAAGCATAAAGTCATAAAATGAACAGGGGAAAAAAAAGAGGGAGAGTGTCAATATTAAGGGACTTTTTTTTTTTAACTGTCAGAGGATGTGCAGGCTTGCCAGAAAGAGACAAAGAGAAAGAGAGAGAGAGGGAGAAAGCAACCCCAGTGAGGTATGGTCAGGCCATGATCCCTTCTCCATTTTCCATCCTGCTGGGATTTGGGGCACCAGATGTATTTTTCAAGCCATCAGGGCTGGGATTCCAACTGTGGTTGGCCATATGGGATCTGGCTTTTCTAACCACTAGCCTGTGAGGCTGATCTGGGAATTCTTTCAGAGAAGAAAGGATGTGAAAAGGAAGGAGACCAGTATATTAATGAAAAATAAAAGGGAATAAGTTTAGCATTGCACTATTTATTGCTAAAAATCGTTGTCCCCCATTTTTATCTGTTTTTGACCTATTTTCATATTCTTCAGGCTCCTCTGGGGATAAAGGCTTCTTTCTGAAGCCTTTACTCCCTTTTATCATATAATAATTGCTTCTATTTTTTAGCATTTGCTAAAAAGGCTGTTTCTCAGCCCTGGAAATACACTGGCATTAAAGGTGAGAAACAGAATCTGTACTCTGAGCTCTTCCAAAGAAAAGTATTTTAGAAATCAAAGGCATTGCCACACTGTTATTATTCTCGCTGTCCCCTGAAAGTGTGGCATGACATTATCGCTGATCCTCAAAACTAAGTCTTTCGGTTTAGCCATTGTATTAATAATCTGTGACTCTAAAAAAGAAATGGATATCTAAATTGATCAACCTAGCTCAATAATCTCTTCTTTTCCTTGGTCCTGATGCTGTGAACTGAGCCAAGAATCAGAAATAGGAACATTGCAACTCATTTCAACTTTCATGTGACTCACATTCAGCAATGCATAAATTGTAAGGGCATGAGGCCAAACACTGTCAGTTCTGTGCAAATGGAGATCCAAAAGCCCAACAGGCATTGGAAGCATGAGTTGTTCACTCATGAATAATCCTTTATATTTTTATACATATAAAACTAGTCACTTATACTGACTAGTTAGATAACCAGTCACTTATACTGACAATTTACCCTAATACTGAACTAATGAGTAAGACAAAAATAAGTTGTTTTTTTTTTTAATTTTAAGAGAGATTTTTGCTATAGAGTACATGTGCTCACCAGAGAGATAGAAAGTGAGGAATCACCCCCTCCCCCGCCCCCAGAGGGGATGGTGATACTGCAATTCTGTCTCCATTCTTCTCTCAGGATCTTGGACATGCATGCAAACATGCCCGGCATGAGTTTTAAGCCACCAGGTCCAGGACTCAAAGCACTGTCAACTGCATGGGAGTCCAGCAACGAAACCATTACATCATGCTGGTCCCATGAAGTTCTTCTGGAAGTAAGTAATAAATATTTCTTTTTCTTTTCTTTTTTTTTTTTTTTGGAGAAATTTTTGCTATAGGGCACGTGCACTCACCAGAAAAACAGAGAGAAACAGAAAGTGAGAAATCACCCCCAGGGGGTTGGCCACGCCACCATCCCTTCTCCTCCGTTCTCCTCTCAGAATCTTGGACACATACACACATGTACCTGGCATGAGTTTAAACCACCAGGTCTGGGACTTGAACTGTGGTCGACTACATGGGAGTCCAGCGACATAGTCATTACACCAACTGCTGGTCCCAAATATTTCTAAGAAAAGTAGTAGTCTATCAAGACAAAATTGGATGGTTCTTTTAATAGTCAAGAAAGCAAATATAACTAATGGAATTCTTAGTTAATATTTTCCCTACTTAAGTAGCTCCACGAAAGGTATCATTTACAGAAAAATATCTAATGACAACCAGAAAGGAAAAAAATTAAAACTAGAGTAGAATCCATACTTGACAGCTCATTTAAGTGGAAGTCACCTGCAATGAGCAGGTATAAAAACGAAAACATTTTACAGAAGGTGGATTTGATTCTCAGTTTTGATGGTTCAACATATTCAATAATTTGATGTAGCTATGCATCTATATATCTATGCATATCATCTATGCATCTATAATGATGTAATGACAGTTGTGAAAAAGGCAACTTGAGCTTTGTGTTTATTGACCAACAAAAGTTTATTTAATTACTGAGATCTGAATTCAATTATGATAAAAAGCCTTTAATTCCAAATATTTCCACTATTTGTAAATGAAAGAGACATTAGAAGTCTGCACAGTAGATGAAAATTTTAGAAAATAAAACAATCTAATAGTAAACCAATGCATAGGCTGATAATTACTCTGATTGGAGTTGGAGAAACAAAACCTATGAGATGAAATATTCTGCTAACATATTCTAAGTGTTGAGATGTGAAAACATTTTTGGTTACCTGGAAGCCAAACCGAATAAGAGCCCTATTTTTCTATGTTTATGATGACATAGACTGCAGTTCTACACTTGTAAGAAACGTATCTTTTAAAGGCTAGAGTGTAGGCTCTGTTTTTTTCACCAATATATCCCAAGATATTCAAACAATATCTGGCATACAGCAGTCATATATTAAATTACATTGTGACATTCCCAGCATGGAAATTGTTCAATAAAATGCCCTCCACATGATTTATAGTTTTAGTTATAACTATTCCTCTCGACAAAAATAAAAGTAGAAAACATTCATCTGACACTTACTATTTACAAGGAACTTGCCATACATATTCCCATCTAGTCCTCTGGATTCAGCACAGCTTAGAAGCAGCAGGACACCAGGAGGCCATATTGGCCCCTGCCTGATATTTGACTCTGTTCTCTACTTCTGCCACTGGTAAGGGCTGAATTGTGTCCTTCCAGAATTCATATTGCAGATTCTAACCTGCAATGCCTCAAAGTATGACCTTATGTAGAAATTGGGTCCTTAACAGATGTAATTAGTTAAGTCATGATAAGGTCACATGGGAATAGGATGAATCTTTGATCAAAAAAGACTGGAGGTCTAAGGGTGATTTGGACTAAGACATGCACACAGAGATAATGCCATGAAGATGAAGGCAGAGATCTGCATGATGCTTGTACAAGATGGGGAATGTTACAAATTGCCAGAAAGCTACCAGCAGTTAAGGGAGAGCATGGAACAGACTTGCAGAGCCCTTGAAAGGAAGCAACCTTGCTGACAGGTGATCTTGGACTTCCAGCCTCCAGAACCATAAGGCAATACATTTCTGTTGTTTATGCCCCTTGGTTTGTGGCATTTTGCTATGGCTTCCCTAAAAAACTATTGCAGCCACTTTTAAACAAACAAACAAACAAACAAACAAACTTTATTTATTTGCAAACAAACAAACAAAAAAACAAAAAAACTTTATTTATTTTTTTTTACATTCAAACACTGTGTACTGCCAAGCAAAGGAAGCCAGACTGTGAAAGAGAAGTATTGTATGTTCCCCACTCAATATGTACTGAATGTTGGCACTCTATGGCAGAAATGAAAAGATTGGAAGGTATAAAAGCATGGAGAGCTATAGTAATACTGGAGTATCAGTGAAGGAAGAGGGTGGGAAATAGGGGAAGGTGAGAGATAGTGAATCAATGGAAAGAAGAGCAAAGCAAAACATTGAAGGGACCTACGGTGGAAATAAATCTGCTGATTAAAATGTGTATGGTGGTGGCTTTGACTGAACCAATATATGGTATATTCATGATACAGCCACATTCTCATTCCCCATAGCTTGTCAGGTGACCTACCAGGGCCCCTGCAGCTCTGACCCAGGTACTTTTGCAGAATTCACAAAATTGTCTCCAATTTATTCCACAGTATCTACAATTACACACTGTCAATGTCTGACACATTCTTCTATCCCATGACATAGCAATTACATCTGCCATCTTTCCCTTACCTTTTGCTGGTTCCTAGGCTTGAAGTGGCATTATAACCTGGAGGGGGTGGCGGAAACCAGGACTGTCTGTTAAGAAATGGCATCAGTTATAAATACGGTACTTGAAAGACTGACCCCACACATGTGTCTGTCAGAAAAAGCTGAAAATAATTTGACAGTTTACTACTTTCACATGAAGCTGTAGAAATAAAGTGAATATTATTTCATGAATAAAATAGGAAGTAAATGTCTTATACTCCAGACTATCTGTTCCCCCAAATGAACTCTTTTTTCTCATTTCCTATAGCACTAAATATGGCAGACTTTTTTTTTTTTTAAAGAATCTGCAGCAAATTTGGAAAATAATAAATGGGAAATCTAGATAGGTTCATGGATGTTTATCACATTCTCTTTGTTTTTCTACATATTTGAATTCTTTCCTAATAGAAGCAACAACAATCTTATGCTTGACTTGAAATAAGATTTTAGGCCTGGCTGTAGTGACATAGTCATTAAGATGCTGCTGTGCAATACTGGAGCCATATGGAAGACCCAGGTTCAGATTCTGGTTCAACTGAACAAGCCTCGAGCAGTATGTATGTTTATAATCCTGGCTGTCTGAGAGGTTGGATAATTGGATAAAGAATCACCATACAAGACTATACCAAGGGTATCTCTCTCAATCTCCAAAGAAATAAACTTTAAAAATTATTTGAAAAAAACTATGTGATAGAAAACAATGACAGGGACCAGCAAATGGTGTAATGGTTATGTCACTGGACTCCTACATAGTCAACTACAGTTCAAGTCCTGGACCCAGTGACTTAAAACACACAGGATGTGAATGAGTGCATGCCCAAAATCCCAAGAGGAGAAACGATTGTGGTATGGCCATTATCTCAGAGGGAGGGTGATTTCTCGCTTTCTGTCTCTGTCTCTCTCTGTTTCTCTGGCAAATGCACATGCCCTATAGCAAAAATCTCTTTCACTAAAAAAAAAAAAAAAAAGAAAGAAAGAAAGAAAGAAAAAACTAAAAAAACTGACAAGTAAAAATATTGACAGCATAAACAAATACCACAGCTACATTATCCTCACTGAGAAACATGTCCTCACATGACTAGGGCATAATTTTAATTGGTAGCAATAATAAAAGCTAAGGATTCTGTCAAAAAGACCAAGATATGGACCAAAAATGAAGATGTTCAGAGGAATGTGATAGAGATGAAGAAGGAAAGACTGAGATGAGGAGGACAGCAGAGCTGGCTTTAAATTCTTGTAGTAGGTCTGTTTTCTGAGGTCTCAGAAAGGACTGAATGAAAAGCAGGTGAAAGTCAATCATGGCAGATTTCAGCTCAATGTGAGGAGTAGATGCTACCCCCAAGAGCTCCTCAAAGGTGTAGCACAAAACAGTGCGAATCTCATTGGTGGCTTCAGTGGTCCTGAATGAAACCTTATCTGTCAGAGGAAAGATTCTTACAGCAGTTAGATTTAACTAACTGACCTTAAATTACTTCCAACCTTAGGAACCTATTTTTAGCAGGCAAAGAGTCAAAAGGATATGAAATTGGATTCAAAGGAAAGACGAATCACATTTCCCAAGTCTCCGTAAAAACAACCCAAACCCAAACTGCAAGAAAAACAGAGACTGTCAATCATTCCTCTCTGGGAAGATGACAGTGACACCAAGACAAATTCAGTCTATCAACAAACCTTGAACACCTATCCTACACCCGGCATGGTCCTATGTGCAGGCGAAGACAATAAGAATATAAAAAGCAGTGACATTTACAAATGTTGGTTTTCCATCTGCATTATAATTTACTAGCACTGTGTTCTATACAAAAAAACCTCTTCCATTATTATGCTCTGTCTCATGAAGAATATTCTCCGCTACCACTGGTTTCTCTATTCCTATGTATCTATTGTACAGAAACTCAGTACAAGTAGAGTATAGGAGACCGTGGAAAGGAATTTGGAGGAGGAGGCAATAATTATACAAACACAGATGGATAGTTCCAGATAGGGCTTTTGACTCTGCACTGGAACACGGGGTCAGCCAGATCTATAAAGCTAAGGAGGCTCCAGATGAGTTGGTGTCAGGTGAATGGTGCTATATGTCTATACAGCAATCGTGATTTTAGGAAAAAGCTTCCCCTGCAACAGGACTCTGTAAAATATACCTGAAGTGAGACCAGCAGGTGGAGTAGTGGTTACGGCACTAGACTCCCACATGGCAAACCACAGTTCAAGTACCAGACCCAGTGGCCAGAAAATCATGCCAGAAATATGTGCATGCATACCTAAAATCCCAGGAGCAGAAGAAATCAGAAGGGAGTATGGTGTGGTCATCCCCTCAGGGGATGATTTCTCACTTTCCCTCTCACTGTCTCTCTCTGGTGAGCACACACACCTTATGGGAAAAACCTTTAAAAAGAAACAAAAACAAAAGTACCTGAAGTAGTCTATCATGTGACATTTGAGCTCTCGCATCAAAAATATTACCTAGAAAGCAAAGCCCTACGGAAACTTAGGAAAAGACCACATATTTACAAAGGAGATTGGAGGGAGAGTTGATGTGTGAAAACTGAAGTTTGAAGACTACAAGATGTAGGTGCTAGATGCCTGGAAGGTGAGGAAGGAACAAGAAGGACGTTTCTGGACATGTCCCAGGAGCCTTGTGAATGATTTGGTGCACAAATTCATAATGAACAGGCCTTGACAGGGTATCAGCAAGAGGCAGACACACTGAGCCCGACATACCTCTTTTTCTTCACAGGAGTGGCCACAGAGGCAGAAGCTGTGGTGGTGGTGGTGGTATGGGCACTCAGCAAACCACCAGGTTGCCTGTTTAATAGCGAGAACAAGAAGCCATCACACTCCTCAAACTTTTTCATCCTTCTCCACATTAGAAATCTTATAATCTACTTATATCCCCCCTCTCCATCCACCACAAAATATTTCATTTGAGGATGAAAGAACAACAAAAAGTATCTTCTTCCCTTGAGTTTGGCTATTTTATAAACTGTCAGATTCTCATGTAACTAGTTAAAACTGAAGAAAGTGGGCCAGCCAGTGTCATGATGGTTAAGGTAGCCGGATCCCATATATCTGACTGCAGGGTTTCACTTCCAGACCAGCAGCCTAAGAAACACACTGGGCACATGTGCATACATGTCCCAAATCTGAAAGGAGAAATGGAAAAGAGTGTGCAGTCTGACTATCCCACGTGAGAGGTCAGGGTGCTTTCTAATTTTCTCTCTTTCTCTTTTTCTTCTCTCCATCTCTGTCTCTCTCCCTCTCTCCAGTTGGAGAGTACATATTCCCTTTAGTCAAACAAACAAACGAACAAACAAAAAACTGAAGGAACTGAACAAAGAAGTTATTCATCACACATATGATGGTAATTGCTTGTCTGAAACTCAGACCAACCAATTCTGATGTGCCACGGATTCATATATTTTTAATCCTGTAATTCTATTGTGACTAGCAGAATTATATTGCAATATTTTTTACATTAAAAACATTACTTCGTTTAAGAAAAAAATTTCAAATCCACTATTTAAAATCTCTATTTTGCACTTATTAATATTTGCAAAACCTAATCAAAGTAACCAAGGTTTGTTCCAAGCACTAAACAGTATAGTCCAGTGTGAACATTACTTTTTATGTAAAAACAGATTTAAAAGTAATCAAGTTCAGGGGCTGGCCCATGGTTTGGTGGTTAAGGCAGTAGATCTCACATGGTCAATTGCATGTTCTGGGTTCACATCCTGAACCCAGTAGGTTGCAAAGCATGCCAGGCACATGTGTCTGAATGACCAAAATCCCAAAAGGAGGGAGAAATGGAGGAGAAGGGACTATTGTGTGACCATCTTCCATGGGAGGTGCTTTCTCACTCTCTCTCTCTCTGTCTCTTTTCCAGTGAGTGCACATGCCCTCTAGCAAAGCTAATAAAAGAAAAAGAAAATTGAAATTTAATGTAAAAATCTATCTAATTTAGGCCCAGCAGATGGCACAGAAGTTAAGCCAGATGGATTCTAACTGGCCAACTGAGCAGCAAGTCTCAGAGCCAGCCAGTAGCATGAAAAACATGCCGGGCACATACACCTGCCCAAAATCCTGAGAGGAGAAGGAAGGAGAAGAGATTGCGGTGTGACCATACCTCCTAGGGGCTGATTTCTCACTTTCCCTCTCTATCTCTTTCTGTTCCTCTCTAGCAAGTATACACCATATACAAAACTAGGAAAAAAAAAAAAAAAGATCTACCTACTTTAGGCTGCGTAAAGTTGAGAGAAGTGCATTCTAAGAAAATTATTTTATCCAATAGATTATTAGCAGACCCATGATTTCACAACTCAGTCTTCCATGAAAGAGGAGCTGCAGATATACAGGGTATTTGAGGAAGAAAACGGTATAGAGGAAGAGAGAATTAAGTGCCAAAAGAGTGGAGTTGGAATTTGGGAAGAAAAATTAAGAGTCTAAATTTACACTGGACTTAGCATTTGAAACAAGGTGGCCTGATGGTTCATAGAGATTTGAGTATTTCATTATTATGCCCTCCTCCTCATTCTCAAGATGGGCATTATCCAGGGAGAGTTGGAGAGAGTTTTAGGATGAGACGAAAGGACCTAGAATATCAAATGACTGGACCAAATCTTCTCTACCTTTATAAGGTTCTTTTTTTTTTTTTTAGAGTTATTTTTATTGAATATTTATTTGTTTATTTAAATTTTACCAGAAAGGGACAGAGTGGGAGTGGGAGAGTGAGAGAGAGAGAGAGAGGGGGAAAGAGAGAAAGCAAGCCACTGAGTCCAGTGCCCTTAATCACTATGTCACCTGCTGGCCTCCACCTTCATGAGTTTTTAAAAATATCTTATTTATAAGAGCTGGATGATATAGACTTTCCTTATACTTTCATAAACTTTAAAAACAATTGTTCCTAAGTTTTCTTTATCCCTTTTTCTGATGTTTTTGTATCTGAGAGCTGTCATTTTCTCATGATCTATGTTTAGTGTACTTTTTAATTTTTTTATACTTTTTATTTTATGTGGGGTTTTTGGTACTTAAAATTTTCTTTTTTGATATTTTTTATTGTTCTAGACACACATTTTCAAAATCATTTATAAATCACTGGGGTGATGCTAATTTCCAAAATTTTTTTGGTTAAAAAAAGAGCCTATGGGACCAGCAGGTGGCATGGTGGTTGGGGGCGCTGGACTCCCACATGGCCGACCACGGTTTGAGTCTCAGACCTGGTGGCTTGCTTTCTCATGCTCTCTCTCTCTCACGCTATCACTCTCTAGTCAAATGAAAATAAAAAATTTTGAAAAAAAAAATGTCGCTAAAAAAAAAAAAGCCTAAATTTTTTTTTTTTTTTTTGAGAGGTTTTTGCTATAGGGCCCGTGTGGTCGCCAGACAGACAGAGACAGACAGAGAGACAGAAAGCGAGAAATCACCCCCCAGGGGGGATGGTTACGCTGCAATCCCTTCTCCTCCATTCTCCTCTCAGGATCTTGGGCACGCACGCACATGCACCTGGCTTGAGTTTTAAGCCACAGGGTCCGGGACGCAAACCACAGTCGACTACGTGGGAGTCCAGTGACATAGCCATTATGCTAACTGCTGGTTCCCAAGAGCCTAGATTTTTAAAAAGAAGAATAGGGCCCCTCAGGTAGCATGGAGATGAAGGCACTGGATCCTATACGACTGAATGTGTGGTTTGAGTCCTAGACCCAGTGGCTTGAAAAATCATGCTAGACACTAGTGCATGTGTGTCCAAAATCCTCATGAAACACAGAAGGAGAGGGGATTGTAACATGGCCATTCTCCCAGGGAGGGTGATTTCTCACTTTCCCATCACCTGCCTTTCTCTATCTCTGGTGAGCACATGGGACCTATGGCAAAAACTTCAAAAATAAATTAAAGGGAAAAAAAAAAGAAGAAGGAGGAGAAGAAGAAGAAGGAGAAGGAGAAAAAAGAAAGAACTAAGCTTCAGTTGTTTGATTAGCTCAATGGCCAAAAAAGTTTTTTAAGAGGTTTATTTTTTTTCTTTTTTGAGAGAGAGATTTTTTCTTTAGGGCATGCGCACTCACTGGAGAGACAGAGAGACAGAAAGCAAGAAATTACCCACTGAGGGGACGGCCACACCACAATCCATTTTCTTCCATTTCCTCCCAGGATCTTGGGCAGGCATGCATACGTGCCTAGAATGAGTTTTAAGTTACCAGGTCTGGGACTTGAACCTCTGTCAACTACATGGGAGTCCAGTGATGTTGCCATTATGCCATTTGCTGATCCCCAGCAAACTTTTTATTAAAAGTCCATATAGGGGCCTGCAGATGGCATAGTGGTTAAAGTGCTAGACTCCCACATGGCTGACCATGGTTCGAGTCCCAAACCTGGTGGCTTTCTTTCTCACTTTCCCTTTCTCTTTTTCTGTCTCTTTCTGGTCAAATTAAAAATGATAATAACAACAAATAAAATAATTAATTAATTTGTTTTAATTTTTAAAAATCCCTATAGTAAATATCTGAACTTTTGTGGACCATTTCAGTATTTGTCTTCTACTACCTAATTCTGCCAAAGCAATAGGGGCATGGCTGTATTCCAACAAAATCTGCCCTAAGGATAATATATTCTGGTTTTCCTTGAACACATACAAAGAAATATACTTTAATTAGAAAAGTACATACGACTTTGTTGCTGCTGGTGGTTTAAACGTAGACATGCTTCTGTAAGAGAGCGAGAAAAAGACAAAAGTTTGAACAGCAATGAAGAATTAATACCTTCACCTATTTGCAATTGTTCATCAATTTAGATCATGAATATTAAGTCATTTTTGCATAAAAAAATACATCATGGCTTTTCTGATGACCCAATATTAAAAATTAGATATTATTTGAAACAAAGCAAAAGTATTAGTATTTGAATAAATTTGATAAGGTGGTTTTGTGACCTTGCCATCTCTATTAGATTTCAAAGAATTTTTTCTTCATAAAATTTACCATGTTTTAAGACCAATATTTTTACTTGTTGGGTTCAATCATTCTCTTTAGTGGTAAGACTGATGAATCAAGCAACACATTGTATTGTGTTAAAACGATGTAAAACTTGCATTGACACGTATCTCATAATCTTTCCACCAGGGCCTTAAACAGAAACACAGATGTGGTGTGGATGATGACCTGAAGCCATGCATTCTCTTGATTTGTCAGCCAGATAACAAGATTTATCCTTGCCATGTCCAGGAGTAAAGCATTGTTCACTCAAGAAATAACGTGTTAAAAATTTAGAGGCTAAGAATTTACGGAAAGATAGTAAATAGAACACATAGAAAAGAAAAATATTATACTTGAGCCTTGAGCCTTGCCAAAGTTAGTAGATACTAGTACCTATTAGTTAGTCGGTTATCCAAGGTATTGGCCTTATATGTTTTAGCAGCATCATTTCTGTCTGAGATCCTTTATAAAGAAACAAGACAAAAGTCTGGATAAACATTTACATTATGAAACTCTTTTCAGACCTCTTTCATGCTCGAAAAACTTCACAACATAGCATTTTTTCTTATTTAATAGAATTGTTTAATATGTGCTACCTGTGAGAAAACTTCGTAATAAAAATAAAGTTACTTATGACAAAAATCTACATTGGAGACTATTTTAATAAAGTTTGGAATTTTAGAAATATTAAGTCTTCTGCCTGTTCACTTCCCTGACTCATTGAACATGTAACTGATAAATTATTCTTATATTCATTATTGTCTAATATGTCTTGGCAATGACAGTACTTTCTATGTTGGTCAAAGACATCAGTGAAATACTTAAGTGTTTGTTCCAATGTTTTGTGGCAGAGACAACATTACATGTTTGCCAAACTGATTCTCTTTTCCTCCTGACCACACAGGAAGTCCACATTCTCCACCTTCGTTGCGATTAAGTTCAGACACTGTGATTTAATTCTAGACCACAGAACATTGGAACACATGTTATTTTCCATTTCCAGGTCCATCACAAAAACTCCAGCATTATCTTCTATGTTCTTTCCTCCTCTTCCACTATGACTTTGGTGCCCATGGGTTGAAGATGGCAGCATTAGAACATGGAAAGAATTTAGGTCCCTGAGTCACTGCATGGACTCCAACAAATCACATCAGACTCTGATGAGTCAAGCTGTACCTTCTATTGAGTTAAAACACCTAGATTTGAGGCAGAAGAGGAAGACTCCTTAACAGCTACTCCACCTTGAATTTGTTTGCTTTTACTGATACATTTCGTTAATGGGCCCTAAAGGCCATCAGAGATTTTATTCCCTGTAATATCAGGTCTCCACAAAGATGATAGATCTAGAAAAGATGTGTTTGTCCACTGGGTCAAAAACACAAATTAGGAATGTTATCATTCCATGCCAGTGATGGGTTATTATGAGTTTAGCCCCTGTTTGTCCCCTCCTACCCTCACAGTAGATCGGGAGATTCCATGTAAAATCTAGGACTACCTGCTGGAATATTCTGCAGGCTTACATGAAACCAACATATAGCAAAGTCAGGAAAACAAAATGTCAAAAAGATCCTTCTGTTTCTCCCACACTACATGTCTAATATAACTTTCCCTAAACCTTCACTTTTGCTTTCAACTTTAGGACAAGGCTTTGAAAACAGCATTCCTCCTAAGGAAAGACACTGACTTGTGCCTCTCTCAATAAATAAGTAAAAGAAGTTCATGTGAGAAAAAAATGTAACTCCATTGTGAGAAGCTCATTTTCCTGCTAAGGAAAGACCCTGACTTGTGCCTCTCTCAATAAATAAGTAAAAGAAGTTCATGTGAGAAAAAAATGTAACTCCATTGTGAGAAGCTCATTTAAATTCCTAGATGTTTTTTTGGCAGGTGTAGCTAAAATGTTGGGTGATAATGCTAATACGTTAAATTTCTGAGTCAACCCCAGTTTCGGTTTATGGTATGTCACACAACAAACTGCTAACTCTTGAATACAAAAACAAAGGATGTATAATTGGTCATAGCACTCCAGAATCCCATGTAATCCACAGGCTATTCACAGAGCAATAACTGGTACAGGATCCTAGAATCAATACAAAAGAACTCAGGTCTAAGGCGGTCTTAAGGTCAATAACTAGGATCATTCCTCCCACACTAACTGAAGCCTCTGAACCTCCGCGATGTTTAGATTGCAAGAACTCTGTAGTAAATCACTATAAATACCGTAGGTGAGATGTCACATAATTAGAAACCTTAAATGCTTAAAAATTTTTTTCTATGAGTTGTGTTCACTACCAGAGAGATAAAGAGAGAAGGAGAAAGCAACCTCTCTATGGGGTGTGGTCACACACAATCCCTTCTTCACTTTTCTACTCTGTTCAGATTTGGAGCATGCACGTATGTACCCAGCTTGTCTTCCAAGCCTCCAGGACAGGATTCTAACCTGTCTAAACTATACATAATTAGACATACGAAATATGTTTGCCTTAACCACCAGGCCACGGGCTGGTCCTCAAATTTTAAATCTTAAATATTCCTTGGAAACTCTACTCAGAATTTATAAATATCTATAAGATTTTTATGTAAGATAAAAATAATCTTGAGAAACTGTTACTTGGGTATACTAATAACTAAAATCTGTCTGAAGTAAATGGAACCTTAATATCAAATGTTCTCAAGATATGCTTTAATGTTAAAATTAAGTGGAGCTAATAAAAAATTCTACAATGTAAATCCACGTGAGCAATACTACATGTAACAAGAAAATTAGCTCCCTACTACTCTTTGCTGGTCATTTCATATATTTCCTCTATTGTCCAGATCAACCTGACAGGGTATAATTGCTTTTGTTTTACAGGTGAAGAAATGGAATTGCATAGAAGTTGGATGACTTCTTCTTGGCCATACAAATAAGAAGTAGACTACCAGGACAAGTGTGTGGCATAATGGTTACATCTCTGGACTCTCAAATGTGCAGCTGCGGTTCAAATCCCAAATCCGGCAGCTTAAAAGTCACTCTGGGTACATGTGTGTATTGCATGCCCGAGAACCCAAGGGAAGAATGGAGAAGGAACTGAGGCATGGTCATCCCCCCTAGGGGGTGATTTCTTGCTCCCTGTCTTTCTAGTGAGTGCATGTACCCTATAGCAAAAATCTTTCTTAAAAAAATAAATAGGGACCAGCAGTTAGTGTAACGGCTATGCCGCTGAACTCTCATGTAGTCGACCACGGTTTGAGTCCCGGATCCGGTGGCTTAAACTCCCTGGGCGCATGTGCGTGCATGCCCAAGATCCGGAGAGGAGAATGCAGGAGAAGGGATTGTGGCGTGGCCATCCCCCCTGGGGGGGTGATTTCTCTCTTTCTGTCTCTCTGTCTCTCTCTGTCTTTCTGGTGAATGCACATGCCCTATAGCAAAAACCTCGCCAAAAATAAATTAATTGATTAATTAATTAATTTAAAATAAAAATATTTTTAAAAAATCTCCAAAGTCTTTTCCTTGGGGCTCAACGTCATACACATTCTGTAGTATTATTTTCCCCAAGATTAATCATGTATGAGGTTAACACATCTTCCTATAATTATTCTTCAGGTCTTGCAATCTCTTCCATGGCAATAGAGAGATGTCTCTCAAAAGTAATAGAACTCTAAACCACCATTCTAGTACATATCAATTTCTTACTGTTGAAGGAGGTGAATATTTATTTTTCTCCTGGAAATAGTTTCTGCCAACTTGTGATATGAAATAGGTGGTTTTAATAGGATTTATTCTTGGAGACAGGAAGTCCTCAAACAAAAATTAGCAATATGACAAAAAAAAAAAAAAAACAAAGGACAAGTGATACTTTCATAACTGAACACTAGGTGGCGCCCTAACCTAGGTTTTCGAAATTACCAAACTTCTGCATTTAAGCATGTCTACATGCTACTTATGCTATTATTTACTTTTGTGTCTTAAGTATGCCTCAATTTATTCACATATGTACATATTAAAAGTAAGCTACAAAAGTAAATTCAGTACTTGTCTTGTATTCAATGAAATTAATGCATTATTCTTAAAATGCACAGGCATACACAATAGATACACTGGATCATCTCCTTCTGAAACTTATTTCATGTGTCACATTTTGGAGTAGCCTGCATTGTGGAAGTCCAACTCCTGCTAACAGGACTTGTCTTTCTTTACTGATTCCTGTGATGTCTTTCTCACATCTATTTCCATACCTCCTGTTTCAGGAATGTGCCAACCAGTATACGTATTCAAGAAAATGTCACTTAACATCTATGAAAATAAATCACAATCTCCAGTGCCGATTTCTAACACAAAATGAAGTATTTGGGAAATATTAGTAGTTCTAAATTTTTGCTGCACAATAGAATCACTTTAGAAGCTTGAAAAAAAAAAAAAGAGGTCCAAATCCCATGCCAGGCTAATTAAATAATTAAATCACAATTTGAAAAATGAGGGGTGTCAGGACCAAGGCATTAGTAAAGTTTAAAAATTTCTTCTGTGATTCTAATTTACAGCCAAGGTTGAGAATGACCCAACTGCCTTGCCTAGGAGGTCTGGTCTATTTCTCACATTTCAAGGCTGTATCTTGCCTGGTCTTACATAAATTTTCTGATACACAGGCTATATAAGTTTAAGACTCCCACATATCTGCCCTTCTCTAGCCTTCACTGTACAATAGAAAAATCTGCAAGGCTCGAGTGAATGGACAAAGGTATTTTTTCCACCTCTTCTCTACACTTTACTATGGAAATGGGATCTTATAAAAATACTTCTACAATATTATTTTTGACAGGGCTGATCATCAAGAGACAGGTTAATTCTTTTGGTGTATCAATGTGAATTTGTCCTCTATTAGGGAAACTGGCTTGAAAGCTTATGAATAGTGCAAAAATATAGACAGTTGCTGGATTAATCAACATTGGCATAGTCCTGAATGTACAGTGAATGGATTTCACTGTATCTGCTTAAAATCCAGTAGGTGTCATCTTTGTCTACACTAGCAGTGCATATTTAGCTACTTCAACTATCACTTGTCTTAGGCATCCATTGTGCCTAAACTCATTAAAGATGTTAACTCTGTCCCTTATTTATGTTTACTAAGCATATCTAGAAAGTCTAAACTGAAAGGTGACTGATGGCATTTCACTGTAACCTGAATAGAAATTTCTCAGTTTTCTCCATAGAGATAAGTCTTTTCCCTCTATGTAAGAGGGGCCCATCAACAGGCCAACATAATGGTCTCATTATATGGTGACTTCAGTGCCAAAGAGTAGTTTCACTTCTAAGGTGAAGAGCTAATGTCTCTATCCAAGAATAAACCAAATTATTGTATTATCAAGACATATACTTTCCCGATGAAGTAATTGTACAGAAACTATTTCTACACTATCAGAGTGGAAGTTCCAGTGTTGGGACCAGGAATATTCACATTCACAAAAAATAACTATGTTCTCTGCTTTAAATTGCACTAATATGGCTGTTAAGGTGGAGCTAGGGTGGATTGCAGTATGAAAACCCCATCGAGGGTATCTCTCTCTCTCTCGACACAAAAATAAACAAAGAAAAAAATTAAAAATATAAATAAATTGTACTAACAGATTCCACATGCACCCACGTTACCTGTCCTCAAATCAGCATCTCTCAGAATTTTTCCTATCAGTCTATCTGCAAGATTTTTGGAAAACAATATATGTAGTCAAGATTTTGCAAAAAAAAAAAATAATAATTCAACCTTAGTGATCCCTGTTTCTCAGAATGAAATATCTATGGTTCCAAACTTATTTTGATAAGCATTCAAATGCCTCATAATTTGATAGGAAAGGGGATTGAATATGTGTCAGGCATCCACTTACATAATTCAAAAGCAGCTTACCTGTCCAAAGTGTCGTCAGATCTGTACCGAGTAATTGTGGCTTTTGGCTCATCCCTCTCATTTGTCTTTCTGTGACAAAAATAATTACCAAAAAAATCAAATAAATTACAAAAAACATAGTTTATGAAATCTATCACCAATTTGGAGAAAGTTTGACCTATTTATGTAGGAACTGTATCTGTTACCAAGGTTTTGACATGGATAGAATAAATTATGGTAACCCCAATACCCTATCCTAATAAAGGATTCTTCTTTGGCTCCAATTATTTTTAACCACAATGTAACATAATCAAATTGGGGATAAGGATATGTAAAACAAACAACATAACATGCAAAACGGTTACTAACAAATGTGTACTCTTGTCAGTGTTGTTTGTTTTTACATCATGGGAATACAATCCCACATAATCAACTGGGTTTTGTTTGCAGAGTTTTTGCAGTGTTGTAACCTGTACAAGGGGCTGAATATTAAATCACTTCATTTGACATTCAGCACCGTGGACAGGGTTGAAAAATTCTCCCCAGCCCAAGTAGAGAGAGGGAAGAAGAGAAAAGAAAAGAAGATAGCAATAGCTGGAAAGAAATGAATAGAAGAAAGTGGGAGATGAGAGAAAGCATAGATATGGGAAAGAGAGGAGAAAAAAGGAGTGATAGGGAAAAGTAAAGAGAGGGGAGACAGAAGGCAAAGAGAAGATGGGAAGACAGATAAGCAGGAAAAAAGGGGACAGGAAGACAAGAAGAAAATTAGGGAAAAAAAGGTAGGAAACTCTTTCATTGCTTTCATGATCACAGATTCTACTATTGAGGCTCCTATCATGATCCATGATCATGAAAACAGTGAAGACATCTTTATCTGAGTGATGAAACAGGAAAAAAGAAGCCTGTTTAATGCCTTAGATCACCTTGAGATACAGGGAAAGCAAGCTCTTTGGGGAGATATACCGTGATTTGTTGTGTTTGCATTTCAAAGCATCATTTGAAGCCAACAGATCAAAGGTATTGAATCAGAATAAGTATTAAGGATGGATACTTAAAATTTAATTTTAAACTGTATGTCGTATATCGTCCTGGAGCAAAGATTTGGAGGTAGGTACTATGCAAAGTGCTTGCTGATGACTATGAGGAAGTCTAGAGCAGGTTAACTATAGGTGCTACCCACATGGAGCTAGAGTGACAGATTAGATACGTATATTCAAAGGCAGAACAGGGTCAGTGTCATTAAGGAAGTTCAGATAAAGTGCAAGCAAGTCTAAACTGAGAAAGTTGGTTTCCAGGTGCATAAATCACAGAAGGATTAATGCATGGAGTGCAGTGGGAACTGAGCCTTAGAAGACAAATAGATGTGAAGGTTTTCAAACAGAGGTAGAAGACACAGTGTCAGTCACAAAAGAAAAAAGTAAAAACAAATGCACAATACAATTCCCCAAGTTTTTTAAGGAAACCTCAGAGTGGTTCATCATGACGTGTGACATGCGAATATAAATAGCACTGGAGAGCCAGGTGACACCTTGCATAATGTCATCACTTCATCTCTCTTTTTCTTTTTAATTTTTCTTTTAGTTTAATTTAGTTTTTGTTAGAGGGCATATACACGCACCACTTGTTTTTCAAGCCAGGGCTTGAACTACAGCGTACATCAAATGGGATGCCACTTTTAACCACAATGTAACATAATCAAATTGGGGATAAGGATATGTAAAACAAACAACATAACATGCAAAACGGTTACTAACAAATGTGTACTCTTGTCAGTGTTGTTTGTTTTTACATCATGGGAATACAATCCCACATAATCAACTGGGTTTTGTTTGCAGAGTTTTTGCAGTGTTGTAACCTGTACAAGGGGCTGAATATTAAATCACTTCATTTGACATTCAGCACCGTGGACAGGGTTGAAAAATTCTCCCCAGCCCAAGTAGAGAGAGGGAAGAAGAGAAAAGAAAAGAAGATAGCAATAGCTGGAAAGAAATGAATAGAAGAAAGTGGGAGATGAGAGAAAGCATAGATATGGGAAAGAGAGGAGAAAAAAGGAGTGATAGGGAAAAGTAAAGAGAGGGGAGACAGAAGGCAAAGAGAAGATGGGAAGACAGATAAGCAGGAAAAAAGGGGACAGGAAGACAAGAAGAAAATTAGGGAAAAAAAGGTAGGAAACTCTTTCATTGCTTTCATGATCACAGATTCTACTATTGAGGCTCCTATCATGATCCATGATCATGAAAACAGTGAAGACATCTTTATCTGAGTGATGAAACAGGAAAAAAGAAGCCTGTTTAATGCCTTAGATCACCTTGAGATACAGGGAAAGCAAGCTCTTTGGGGAGATATACCGTGATTTGTTGTGTTTGCATTTCAAAGCATCATTTGAAGCCAACAGATCAAAGGTATTGAATCAGAATAAGTATTAAGGATGGATACTTAAAATTTAATTTTAAACTGTATGTCGTATATCGTCCTGGAGCAAAGATTTGGAGGTAGGTACTATGCAAAGTGCTTGCTGATGACTATGAGGAAGTCTAGAGCAGGTTAACTATAGGTGCTACCCACATGGAGCTAGAGTGACAGATTAGATACGTATATTCAAAGGCAGAACAGGGTCAGTGTCATTAAGGAAGTTCAGATAAAGTGCAAGCAAGTCTAAACTGAGAAAGTTGGTTTCCAGGTGCATAAATCACAGAAGAATTAATGCATGGAGTGCAGTGGGAACTGAGCCTTAGAAGACAAATAGATGTGAAGGTTTTCAAACAGAGGTAGAAGACACAGTGTCAGTCACAAAAGAAAAAAGTAAAAACAAATGCACAATACAATTCCCCAAGTTTTTTAAGGAAACCTCAGAGTGGTTCATCATGACGTGTGACATGCGAATATAAATAGCACTGGAGAGCCAGGTGACACCTTGCATAATGTCATCACTTCATCTCTCTTTTTCTTTTTAATTTTTCTTTTAGTTTAATTTAGTTTTTGTTAGAGGGCATATACACGCACCACTTGTTTTTCAAGCCAGGGCTTGAACTACAGCGTACATCAAATGGGATGCCACTGCCTTAACCACCAGGCCACAGAACCAGCCCATTATATCTCTTTAGGTGGCTTTATTCTCCCTAGCATCTAAGACAACAACATATTATATTGTGTTTATTTATTTTCATTCTTTTGCCTCTCCCACCTTCAACTAGGATGCAAGTTCTCTGGACGCAGGGACTTTGTTCCCAGTCATTTCTCAGTGTCTGGCTCACAGTGCACCTGCCACAAACACTGTGCTGTCAGCTTTATTTGACAGGTTTAAGTGATCTTTCAGAGGAGACATACAGTAAAACTTCCCAGTGTGTAGATGACATGAAGTGTTATCTCAGTGATGAGAATATAGTATTTATTATTATTTTCCTTTGTTTTCAGTCCCTACACACATCATGTTTTTACACACTCAGTCATTATTATTTTCCTTTGTTTTCAGTCCCTACACACATCATGTTTTTACACACTCAGTCAACTCTGCATGCCTCAGCCTTGCCTGTTGGGAAACTTTCCCTCCTCATCTTCTAAGCAATAGTGCCAACACCAAAGATCACTTTCTTGGTGACGTTTCCAAATATGCAAGCAGAGTCAGTCTTCCTCTCCTCTCTATTCTCATAGTACTCTCACACAACTCCTTAACAGCACTTTACATTATATACATACATACACACACACACACATACACACACACACACACGTACATATCTAGTTTTTTTTGTTAAAGAAATTTTTGCTATAAGGCATATGTGCTCACAGGAGAGACCGAGAGACAGAAAACAAAAAATTGCCCACCAGGGATGATGGCCATGCCACAATCCCTTCTCCTCCACTCTCCTCTCAGGATTTTAGGCATGTATGCACATGTGCCTGGCATGAGTTTTAAACCACTGGGTTTGGGACATAAACCAGAGCCAACCACGTGGGAGTCCAGCACTTTGACCACTATGCCACCTTCTGGCCCCTCCATGATAAATTTTAATATTTATTTTATGAATCATTTTCCATAAATGTGAGAGTTCCTTAAGGTCAAAGGTTGTATCTCATGCTTTTTGGTATTTCCAGCACTTGGCACAATGCCTACACATAGTAAGTGCTCTGAAGTGGCTGTTAAGTGAATACAGCCTCTGCAAAGTGACAGATGACATTATTTGAGCAAGAGCCAGGAGAAAAGCAAATCAACTCTTCTCTTTAGGGGAGGTGTATTACAGGTCAAGGAGAAGATACCTAGGGCTTACAGAATTTTGTTACTGTGCTCCTTTACAAAAAATGCTGATCAACAGCAAAAGTTCAGACAAATGCTAGGTTGTCTGCAAAGTCATGATGCATTTTTGCATAGAAAAATATGCCATGACTTTCCTGACAACCTAATATAAAATATAAAATAAGCACAAAAGCATTAAGCTCCTATAATCCTAAGCTACATTGTACATACACCAAGAATATGAAACTCGCTGTCACACTCCCAAACACCTCTCCCTGTCCTTTACTGGTTCCAGATCAGGGTAGATAAAATGGAGGAAGCTATTTCAACTAGAGGCTGGACTCAAATCATCAGCCTTCCTTTGTTTGGTGAGATGAGGGCCAACTGAGGACCAGGTTGTGATTATCAAAATCCTGAAAACTAAGGAGAGAGCACAGGTAGAGAGTACTCCAGATCCCATAAAGGTAAATCTAGTGAATTAGGGCTGGTATCAGAAAAACAAAATGGCTCCTTTGCATAGAGGGTTGTCAATTCAGCACTCTCAAATTATGAAAAGGTTTTAAAAGGTCATGAGAAATTCACAGATAAATGTTTCCATAATAGACAGAATCAAGGTGTTTACTGAACTTTGAAACTCCATGCTATGAAAGACAACGATGCTCCCTTACTAAGTACCTCTTGATGACAAACAGACATCAACTGCTAGACTAGATCAAACTAGAATCTGATAGCTAGATTTGTCTGATAAGTGTGGTTGTGAGTATAAACGTGTTTTAATAAGAATATGCTCTAGTTATTTGATACATCTGAGATTACTTCCACCATTGTGAAGACTAGTTTTGTCTGAATTTTGCTAGTAATTTTCATTTGTCAGTCTATTTAGCACTAAGGATCAATTAGCAATTTTCCCACAAGCCCCTAAGTTTCTTAAAAAACCTTTTTGGTAAAAGCTCTTCCCCTGCCTCTCTGGGGGGCAGACAGAAGGCTGACTATCTTCTGTCTCTAAGCCATAATTCTGGGAGCATGGAGTTGCAGAAGCACAGTTTCCCTGTGGAACTCCCTGATGATAGCACACATTTTCCTTCACCTGCTCAGAATGCTGGGGAACTCTCCGGGCTAGCCACCAATATTCAGCTGTCTTGGACAAGTCTTCTCTCAAAATTACCATCTTTGTGTCTCTGCTAATGATGTAACCTGTCTGAAACACCCACCTGTCCAAGGCATCATGGGAGTTATGTCGGTTGAGCACCACCCTACCATAATTTTCATCTCTGCAGAGAAAAAAATAAAACTGTGTTACATAAAAACCTACCACAGTATTTACTAAGCATTAAATAAATGAGACACGAGAGAAAGAGAGCTCACACATTTTTGGCAAGGTTAATTGATTTTACTTGAGGCATGAGAACACATCTATGCACCTATTTTAACCAGTCACCACTTGAAAGAGCATAGCAAAAAGAAAAAGTTTGCCAGTACAAATGATCAATTATCCCATGAGATTGCCACATGATTCAACAATGAATGTGTGTTTTATTTTGTTATTTTTTTTTTAATCAGAGTGTGGGAACATGTACTTTGTGGACATTAGAAGAATCAAATACAAAAACTTTCTATAGGGAACCAGCAGTTAGCGTAATGGCTATGTCGCTGGACTCCCACGTAGTCGACCGTGGTTCGCGTCCCAGACCCGGTGGCTTAAAAAACTCACGCCGGGCACGTGTGCGTGCGTGCCCAAGATCCCGAGAGGAGAATGGAGGAGAAGGGATTGCAGCGTGACCATCCCCCCTGGGGGGTGATTTCTCGCTTTCTGTCTCTAATGTCTCTCTCTGTCTGTCTGGCGAGCGCACACGCCCTATAGTGAAAATCTCTCCAAAAAAAAAAAAAAACTTTCTATAAATCTGTTTAAGTTTAATTAAGCCCATTATGTCTGAACATTTCGATGAACTTGATCATTTTCCTGGACAAACTATAGGAAGACAAGTACTAATATTTGTGGTTAAGGAAATGGATCATTCAGAGCAGATTTAGCCCATTTTTGAACTGTAAGAATACAGTTTGCTCTGGTTGGGCCTTAAACTACCCCTATGAAGTAGGCAGGGAAGACACTGCCATATCCAATTCCCAGGTAAGAAAATTAATGAGGGATTTTGTGTCTTTCCCAAGACCACAAGGTTACCAATGGATAAAAGTAGGTGTAGGGTTCATTTCCTCAATTCTTTTGTTTGTTTTTGACAGAGGGCGTGTGTGATCACTAGAGAGAGACAGAGAGAGAGGGAATACAAGAAAGAACTCCCCATGGGGAACAGTCACATCTCAGTCCTTTTCCATTTCTGCCTCCTTTTGGAATTTTACATGGACCCAGCATGTTTCTCAAGCTACCAGGCCCAGGACTCAGACCATGTAGTCAATTATGTAGGATCTGGCTGCCAGGTCACAGGCTGGCCTTCATTTCTTTTTTAATTTGCCAGAAGGCATGTAAATTCACCAGAGGGAGAAGGTAAGAGGAAAATCAAGAATGCATGCTCCAAGCGGGATAGTCAAACCCACAATCCCTTCTCCTCCATCTCTTTCTCCTTTCAGGATTTTGGGCATGCATGTATATGCACCTGGGGTTCAACACTCAAAACAGAATGTAGAAGGTCACATGGGGTCTAGCTGCCTTAACCACTAGGCTATGGGCTGGCCCTGGTTCTCATTCCTATTTATTCCAAACTTTTGCTTTTCCTACTGGTCAAGCCTGCAACAGACCTTCATACATGCTACCCCCCAAGTATGTCTTTCTTAGTTTGTATAGCAGATTTGAAAGTATAGGCAATTTTAGGAAGTGTCAAAACATGTAGCGTAGGGACCAGCAGTTAGCGTGATGGCTATGTTGTTGGACTCCCACGTAGTCGACCGCGGTTTGTGTCCCGGACCTGGTGGCTTAAAACTCATGCCGAGCACGTGTGCATGCGTCCCCAAGAGCCCGAGGGGAGAACGGAGGAGAAGGGATTGCGGCGTGGCCATCCCCCCTGGGGGGTGATTTCTCATTTTCTGTCACTCTGTCTCTCTCTGTCTATCTGGCAAGTGCATGCTCCCAAAAAGCAAAAACCTCTCAAAAAACAAACAAACAAACAAACAAACAAACAAAAAATGTAGTGTCGCTATGGACTTGAACTGAAGCAGATAGTAAGTACCTGAACCTCCTTCATGTCAACCCCACCAAACCTGAGATACCACATCTTTCCCTGTTCTGTTTCACTAACATTACACAACTCTGGAACCATTTTTAATAAAGCTTTAAAAGAACTGTAATACGCAGTTAAAAAGGAAAATGAACAGGGAAACTAAAATAATGCCAGCAAATATATACCCTCAAAGACCCCAAGCAAACTTTTCCTTCTTCATCTATATCTCTCCCTGAAACTTGTGAGAGAGCAGCAGACACAAGGCAAGTTCTTACCTGGAGAAGAATCACAATGAACAGCCAAGAATGGGCCAGTAGGATTGGGGAAGCATCAGAGCCTATTTCCCCTTCTTTCAGCAGCTGCCCTGCCATCCAACCTGGCTTCCTCAGGCCTTCTTAGGAAGGCATGCCTGACCTAAAACCAGCACTCCTACCAACTGTGACTCGTCTTAAGCATTTCTGCCTTCACTCATCTGTGTAAACACTTGTACTTCAAAATATATGGTCTATATTTAATATCACACTAACACTACTGACAAATGACAAATAGAAATGTCATGTTAGGCTCTGGCAAAAACAATAAGTGCTTTTTTATGGAAGGAAATGATTGTTGTTCAATAGTGCGAACTCCAAAAGTAAGTGCAAATCTCTAACCACCTCCGTATTTCCTTAAAATAATAGGGTTCAAGAATAGAAATTAATAGACATTTTATCTGCTAGTCACAAATACGCCCCTCAACTAACCAAATATGGATAGTTTATAGACAGTTTAAAGCGTTCTATCATGCTGTGTATCTCAACCACAGGGCTGTTGACATTTTGGTTTGGAACATTTTTGTTGTGGGGATGATCCTCTGTATTGTAGGATGTTTAGATGCATTCCTAAGCTCTACGCTCTAAATGCCACAAGTATTTCCTGTTTTGAGAACCCAAAATGTCTCCCAATATTGCAAAATGTACCCTGGAATAAAACTGCCCAAGGATGAAAAACATCAGCATACTAGACAGACAATAGGCCATGTTAAAATGACCGTGTCACACTTACTAGCTTTGTGCCACTGGACACAGAGGTTATTTTACCTCTCTGAGCCTCAAATTCATCTTCTGTAAAATAAGGATATAATATCTACCTTGTCTGTTGGAAGATTTAGTGATGTTTTATATATAAAGTATCTAGCATCAAGCTTGACATATAAGAAAATAGTATATATATATATGTATATATATATACACATATATATATAATATATACACACACATACACACACATAATTTATAAGTATATGTAATTTATAGTAAATATGTATCTGGCGCAACAAATATCTTTTGCAAATCTATGTTGACAACAAAGCTACATGTCTATGTTCAAGTTTTCAGATCTGTAAACAGAGAGCTAGTGGCAGCTATTCTCAAAGCAGAGAAAATTGTTGGCTGTGTTTCTCCTTAAATGTCATACCATATTTCTCACTTCCTTGTACTTAGAGGTAGATGACCAGATGGGAGTCTAATGAGTTTGAAATTCATTGATTTCACTTATACTGATAGAAATTTCAGATAAATTATTACTAAATTTGTAAATTTTGAATAATTTTTTTACTCTATGTGTTTGTTTCAATGGACATGATTAACATACATCAGGAATCTCCCTATCATGGATTAAGTATTTGTTTCCTTTTTGGACTGGGAAGCCATGTCTCATTCTAGTTTATCAAGTAAACAAAGAAGTCTATTCCAGGGGACAACCACAACCATGCTCTCTCTGTGTAATAACTCACATTCTCTTTTGTATGTGAACATAGCTGACAGAACCCCAGAACCTGGCAGCTTGAAAATCATGCCAGGCACATATGCGTGTGTGCTGGGAATCCCAAGAGAAGAATGAAGGAAAGGGGATTGAGGCATGGCTGTCTTCCCATCCCCAAGAGGGGTGATTTCTTACTTTCCCTCTCTCTGTCTCTTTCTCTCTGGTGAGCACACATGCCCTATGACAAAAAAAAAAGATAATTTTGAAAGTTTGATATGTTAAATTCGTGCTTACTAAATTTTACCAAAAATTAGACCATGCAATGAAGTACTTCATAAGAAAGATATTCATCTTTTAGATTGTCATTATCTTCCCCAACAGCGAATGCCTCTACCAGCTCATCCATTTACCCACCACTCTCCACCTCCCCTTACTTTTCTTCTTCAGGACGTTTCTTTATCCAGCTGTTATCTTGCAAGAAAGATCTTCTTTTGTTCACATCGTGAAAACCCTGTTGTCTCAGTGTGGTCCCTTGCATGGTGCTCTTTATCTCTGTTAACAGAAACATGAAACATTCGGAGATGCAGTAGTGTGAAAGTGAGCATAGGTTTGTTAACCTGAAAATCTTGAGAGGCACATCTGATTGGCCAGCATCAATCTTCTAGGCAGGCATGTCTTGTATTATTTCAAAGGCAGATGCATGAGCAAGAAAGAACAAATCCCACACCCCAGCATCAGAGATAACATATAAAGCAGCTCAGGTGCCAACTGAAACTGCCAGTGCAATTCGTGGGGCCTCATCCAGCTCCAGGGAATGTAAAAGGCTGCCCTGGGGTAAACCAAGGAAGGGTTTAGTGTGTTATAGGCAGGCATGTCTTGTATTATTTCAAAGGCAGATGCATGAGCAAGAAAGAACAAATCCCACACCCCAGCATCAGAGATAACATATAAAGCAGCTCAGGTGCCAACTGAAACTGCCAGTGCAATTCGTGGGGCCTCATCCAGCTCCAGGGAATGTAAAAGGCTGCCCTGGGGTAAACCAAGGAAGGGTTTAGTGTGTTAGTCATTCTAGAATGTAAAAGGCTGCCCTGGGGTAAACCAAGCCAGGGTTTAGTTGTTTTTGTCATTCTACTCAAGAAGAATCTGCCTACAGAGTATGCACAGTGTTACTACTCAATAAATAATAAGTCCCGGTGCATTTGATTATAACAAATTTAATTCTTTGATCTTGTAGAATTCTAAAGTATAGAAAGTTACACTCAAAAGTGGACATTTTTATTGATTTCTGAAACATTTTTGAATTGTATTGACATGAACCAAAGCTGTGACAATCTTAACTTTTTCTTAAGCCTAACTTAAGCAGTGCTTATTGAATTAGACTTGTTTCTAAGAACTCAAGATCAATATTAAAGAATTGGGGACTGTGAGTCATTTTTCCTAGATTTTTAAGTTTTCTGAACAAGAAAAAACATCGTCTACATTACATTACCTGTGGGAGATGTTTTTCTCAAGGCAAAATAGGACATGCTGCCCCAAGAAGAATCTAAAACTGAAGCATAACCATGGGAGTTGTGAGGAGATCAATGACTATAGGAATCTACCAGTGACTGCTTCATTGCTGAAATGTTTGCCAGTGACACTGACAAAGTCCTATAACACATGACTTAAAGTACCTCCTAAGAATCTGAGAATTCATCTATTTTAATTTATTTATTTTACAGATGGAGACAATGAGACCCAGGGCATTTAGTGTCCTTGGCGCTATATAAGAAGTACTTGGTCGAATCAGGCCATCAGTTAATTCATTATTCAGTCAATACATTGGCACTGAGTACTTACAAGGTGCCTGGCATGCAAGCCAGGAACTGGGGACAAAAAGATGAGTTAGACAATTATCTAGTCATGGTTAGACAGGGAGAGATTGTGCTGAAACTCATAGCGCCACATGAAGAACAGCTGCCTCTCTAGGAAAACCAGGTAAACTCAGGTATCTGATCCCTGGAACTCATAGATCTGGTGAGACACTGGTGATTTAGGCAATCATCACATGTGAAAGGTAAAAGTTCCTTAGTCATGGCCAGTTACTGCTATGTTAAGAGGTTAAGGTAACTCACAGTTCCAGTTTGCCAAGGACTGACATATTAGGTCCTTGGGGAAGTCACAACTTATTTTTCTGTGTTTTTCTCTTTTTTTTTTTTTTGGAGAGGTTTTTGCTATAGGGTGTGTGCACTCGCCAGACAGACAGAAAGAGACAGAGAGACAAAAAGCAAAAAATCACCCCCCAGGGGGGATGGCCATGCCACAATCTCTTCTCCTCCATTCTCCTCTTGGGATCTTGGGCACACACGCACATGTGCCCAGCGTGAGTTTTAAGCCATTGGGTCCAGAACGCGAACCGCAGTCGACTAGGTGGGAGTCCAGCGACATAGCCATTACACTAACTGCTGGTCCTTTTCTTTGTTTTTCTATGTAAAAATGCATCATGGCTTTCCCAATGACCCAAAAGTACCCCAGAGTTGAATTATGACTTGTGGGTCTTAGGTTTGTTTGATTTCATGGTCTTTTCTTATATATACACACACACACACACACACACACACACAAATTAAAATTATATTTTGTGACTAGGTTGGTATGAATATAAACCAAACTGGCTTTATTATTATGTGTTAATTATTATTTTGTTCATATTTGTATTCTGCTATTAAAAGAATAAAACTGTAAACACTTTGGTGGGTCTTCGATGTACCATGGACCTTAGGCACCATGCCTCATCAGCCTTAGGTCTCCCTGAAGGTGAGACTTTGAAATTTTAAACCCAGAAAAGGCCTGCACAGACTGGGATGACTGGTCACCCTAGGTGGGGTATCCAGCCAGACAGACAGTGTATAAGAAATTGTAAAGCCATTTGATCTCATGTCGGAAGCAAGTTCTAGGTTTACTTTTAATCACATTCAGTTCTATAATTGAGACACTTAACCTCCCCTAAAATGCAGCTAATCAAACTTACCAGATACTTCATAAGGGTATTGTGATGATCAATGAATACTGTACACAGAACTTCATTAAACTATTGGGTTGTCAGGAAAGTCATGATGCATTTTTGCATAGAAAAACATAGAAAAATGTGTCGTGACTTTTCAGACAACCTAATACAAATATGATGGAATTAAGACAGTATTATCAGACAGCTGTCTGTAGGTCCAAAAGCCACCATCTCACGTCCTCTGAGAAAAACAGTATCTCTTGCAACAACTTGCCATAGGACCTGAAGTCATATACATTCCTTTGGGTCAGGGTATTATTTTCTCTGGGATCTCTTCTTAGGATATCAGAGAACTACAGAAGGTCAGAAGAGAAAGCTGTTGGTATCCAGACCAGGTTTTCTTTGCCAGAAGTCTGGGGCTTGGTGGCTACAAGCTCATGACTGTACTTTTCACTCCAGGTAATTCCCCTTAGCTGCCTGGTTACTCAGCCTCCCCTCGCACTACAACCTGCAGCCAGAGACTGACCGATCAGTCAATAACTTGCTTCAAAGTAGGGGCAATATGCTCACTGTGGGATCCAGTCAAAGTGTGGCCAGCAGAGAGCAGATCCATGCTCAGCTCCTACCCCTGCTCCCTTCTCCTGAGAGCACACCCTCTATAAATCATAGACATTCAAATTCCTCTTAGGAACTACTTCTGTGCAACACAGCCCAAGACAAAGACTAAGGACAATGTCCCAATCATGGCCATTACCTTCACAGACCAGCTGCTGTTCACTACACTAATAGGTGAAAGTCTAAAGAACTTAGTAGACTTAGAAAGGCCTGCATTTAAATTCTATTTACTGACTGTCACCTGGGGTATGTTATCAGGTCCCTCATTTTTAAAATGAGATGGCACAGGAGTATTATAAGGACTGAATGGGATGACATACGTAAAGCATCTAATTATTGCCACATAGTAGGTGGGCAGTAACTCCCAACTTCATGCTTCTACTTTATCATCTTAGAAAGCAGAAAGCAAAGACATAGACGAACTATGGTAGGGTGTGGGACAGGGAAGGAACAGACTGGAACTTGGGCAGCTGGGCAGCCAGGGAATGTAGAGCAGCCCCAGACTGGTTTGTGTTTAGAAGTTGCAAAAACTTTGGCAGAAAGTGAAAGTTAAAAGGCACCTAGAGACAAGCTTAAATCTCAACGACTTGTTAATTTTGCCCCTGTCTGGCCGGGCATCTCGGGTTTCCTGGCTAACCTATTGCCTGTTTCTAAATGAGCTCTGATAAATTCTTTCCCTCTTAGATGATGAAGACCTGGAGAGTTTTCAGCTGACAGAACTGGGGTTCTTTCTTAGATAGTCAAAATGCTGAATGCATGTTTGATGACACATTTGCAGAGACTGCAAATTCAGGGACCAAGGTACATGAAGAAGATATTTTACAACTATCCTCCTGTGTATTTCTCTCTGTCCCAAGAGACTGAGTTTCTGGTGGGAAAGGCCTAAGTCCTTTCCTTTTATTCTTTGTGTCTAGGACAGAGTAAGTGTTCCTTAGGTACTTGTTACTGGCTGAATTTTTCCTCCCCCCCCCCAATTTATATGTTTGATGTCTATACTCTCAGTACCTCAGAGTGTGACTGGAGACAAGGCTTTGAAAAAGGATGATCAGGTTAAAATGAGGTCCTTAGTCTTCTCACTAACACAATCTGGCTGGTGACCTTATAAAAGGAAATCTAAAAGCACACAGATATCAAAAGAAAAACTATGCCATGACACAGCAAAAAGAAGGCTGTCTGCTGAAGCCAGCGGATGTTGTAATGGTTATGTCGCGGGACTCCCACATAGTCGACCATAGTTCAGGTTCCAGACCCAGTAGCTTAAAACTCATGCCAGGTGCCTGTGCCCGCATACCTAAAATCCAGAGTATGGAGGAGGAACAATTGTGTTGTGGCCGTCCCCCCACCCCAAGGAGGATTTCTTGCTTTCTCTCTCTGTCTCTCTAGCAAGCTCATGTGCCCTATAGCAAAAATCGATCTCTAAGAAAAAAAAAAAAAAAGATGGCCATTCAGAAGTCAAGGAAAGAGGCTCAGAGTAAACCAAATCTGCTGATACTTTGATCTTGGTCCTCCAGCCTCTAGGACTGTGAGAATAAATTTCTAAGTCAATAGCCTGTGGTATTTTGTTATAATAGTCTTAGCAAACTAATACAGACCTTATAGAAGAAAAAATGGTTGAACGTTTCTATCATAGCTTAGTTTGAAGAGCTTTGTACCATGCTGTCACTTATCTGTGCCCTTGTGTCTCCAAATGCCCCACTGCACAGGGCAATTACTAAGAGCATACATATCCATAGTTCAGACCCTGTTCCGAAAAGGCTACCTCATAAGCACTGTCTCTCATCCTCATACAAACTCTGTGAGGTGGTTACTATTTCCTCCACCAACTGTATGAGTCGAGTGGAAGCTCGGGAGAGTATGAACCAATTCCAACCTGGTAAGAGGCAGCACTGGCCTGCTTAACCAAAACCAACCCTTTCTTCAGCAACCATAGTAACATTGGTCTTGAGTCATT